CCCACAGCAGAGGGCAGAAGCGCTTACTGTCAACCCTGATGACCTGAGTTTGCTGACCGGGGGCCCACGTGGTTAGAGGGGAGAACCAGCCTCCTCAGGTTGTCCTCTGAGTGCCACATGCACACTGAGGCATACACATCCATGCGCTCTCACACTCACAACCAAATAGATAAGTGAGTGGGTGGGTAGCTGCAGTGTGCTAGAGCATGGAGGTTGGTTTACTTGGGGTCCTAGCCAGCCCTGTGTGAGCAGGGATAGCTCCTCAGCCTGGTCAGACTGGACAGAAGACAGAGAGCCTGCCTCCTACTTCACCTGCCCAACAGGGGTTGACACACGGACCACATGCTGGCTTCCTTCCCATGAGAAGGGTAACTTCCAGAGCGTCTGAAGGAGTCTCCATGCCTAGCAAGTCTGAGAGCAATAAAATATTCCTGGGTGGGTTTAGGCAGAGCTGAGGGTCCCGAGGAAAGTTTATGTGGGCTTTTGTTTTGACCAAGTGACACACCTCTAAGGAAGACATTCACGGGATAGAAAAAGATGTGGCTAAGAGCTAGAGGAAGCCGGGCGGTGGTGGCACATGCCTTTAATCCCAGCACTCGGGAGGCAGAGGCAGGCAGATCTTTGTGAGTTCGAGGCCAGCCTGGTCTCCAGAGTGAGATCCAGGAAAGGCACAAAGCTACACGGAGAAACCCTGTCTCGAAAACCAAAAAAAAAAAAAACTAGAGGAATAACTGAAATACCATCTACCAAACCGCTGGTTTGTGAACATTTCTAGAGCTAGGTTTGACAAAGGAAAACCTGAAGGTTGGGCTGTGTCTCCCCATGTGATCAGTTATAAATGACGAGTGGACACCCGGAGCTGCTCCGATACCTGGTGAATGTGAGATGGTTGTCACCCTGAGTGACTGTGACAGGTACTCAGAAGATGGGTTTGTCGCTTTGGGGTTCCCTAGAAGCAGCACTGGTGTGTGAGGGGCTGTGAGGATGAAGATCCACGGGAGATGAGGATGTGGTGGCCCAGCCCCTCCCACCGCTGAGCTGGGTGACTGGGACACAGGCACAGCCTGTGTGCTGTCCCGGAGACTGGTCCGCCTGCTTCCATTCGGTTACCATCTTCTGTTGGTTGTTGGTTTTTGTGACCAAACTATCTCCCCTTCCTGACAGTTAAACTCTGTAAGACATGATGCTGTGAGTCTTTGAGTGTCCTCCGGGTCAGAGGAAAACCAGAATCAGGCTGTCACTGAAACTACAGGGAGAAACTTGGAGGACGAGGAGGAGAGAAGCAGCTAGCCAGGCTCTAATCCCAGCACTCCCAACATGGAGCGGCAGATCTCTCTGAGTTCCAGACCAGCCAGAGCTACGCAGTGAGACCCTGTCTCAGAACAAACGAAGACAACCGCCCTAACGTGATGCTCACTCTCTCTTTCTCCAGGATTTATTTCTCATTCCTTCTCCCTCATGGAGCTGAAGTTCATCTATCTCCATGTACTGCCCGACCTGTCAGGGAAGCTCTTGGTTGACATTGGCTCCAGACTTGGCACAGTGCTCTATGGGGTAAAGTCCAGCTTGTGGACATACTCAACGTGCGGAAAATACTTTCTTCTGCTAGCCACAGCTTTGCCTGCCACCATCCAAGGTGACAGCTTGGCTTTATTCTTAAAGTAACAGGATAAGGTCAAAATAGGATCCATTGGCAGGCTCCTAAACTCGGCTGGAGGGTAATAATTGGGTTTGGAATTTCAAAGACCAGCTGCCCAAGTTCCTCTCCTGGTTTGTATCCACAACACCGTGACAAATAGAAACAGACTAGACCATGTGACTGACTGGCACTCCTTCTCGCTCTCCCCTCCCCTCCCCCTCCCACTAGCCCCTCTGTTTTTTGTTTTGTTTTGTTTTAGGGTGGGGATTTGGGGGTTGCTTTTCATGTGACCCAGGCTGGCTCACACTTAACTATGTAGGTGAGGATAACCCTGAACTCCTGATCCTCCTGCCTCAGCCCACTAAGCACTGTGATTACAGGCTTGTCTTCATGCCTGGTTTCTTTTTCTTTGTGCTATATTAAAATAAAGTAGTATACTGGGCTTTGATAAGAACCCATAAAAGTAACAAATTATGGCTGGAGAGGTGGCTCAGTGGTTAAGAGCGCTTATTAGTGTTCTTGCAGAGGACCTGAGTTCAATTCCCAGTACTCAGGTCAGGAAGCTCGCAACCACCTGTAACTCTAACTCCAGGAGATCTGATGCCCTCTTCTGGATTTGGACTGCACACACATGCACATCCCCCTCCCCACCTCCTGCAACATACATATAGTTAAAAATAAAATAAAATCGTTAAAAAAAAAATTTACTTGGCCCAAGAAACCTTTGTGTGGTCATAGCAAGTCACTTAATGATTCTGGATATCTAGTTCCCTATCTTTAAATGTATACGCTGGCCAATGTCCAAGGATACATCATATCCGATTTTCTGTGACCCAAAATGTGCACACTACTTTTGTTTCTAAAATATCACTTCAGCCAGTGGGAAGCAGAGGCAGAGGCAGGCAGATCTCTGAGTTCAAGGCCAGCCTGATAATCTACAGACTGAGTTCTAGGATAGCCAAGGTTACACAGAGAAACCATCTCAAAAAGCCAAAAAAAAAAAAAAAAAGAAGAAGAAGAAAGAAAGAAAGAAAGAAATATTATGTGTCTCGATATAAATTCAAATCATGGGTGCTTCTAACGTTCTTAAGTTAGAGGAAGGTGTGGCCACAGCGGTATGTGACTCCTGCCCTCACTCCCTGGCATTGCTGC